ATTGTATCATAATTGTATCATGATAATAAGTTATTTTTACAATCCCAGCTAATATTTTAGCAACCATCACTATTTTTTACGCTGTTAATGAAATTAAGCTACAAGTAACTGTTAATACATTCTTAGCAATAACTTGCTTTGCTCACGATAATTAATTTCCTTAGCTATTGTTTGTTTTTTCTCCATAAAAATAATGTATAATTTTATTTGTGATTCTTTAAATAATGTTGCTTTTCATATCCCGCTGCAATTTATTAACTCTTAATTATTAATTCATTTAAAAAATTAAACTCGTATTAAGTAACAGAGGAATTTTACAGAACTAATAGAAAACCTATGAGTGCTAGAGTTATAGTGATGGGTGCTAGAGACAAATGGTTTGCATGTTTTGAATCAGCACAATTTCATTTTCTTAAAAAATACAATGGATATTAAGATATCCGCAATTTTTTAAAAATTGTTTATCAGTGTTATTATCCATATATTTTAGAATTCAGATTTAAGTGAAGTTACCATTAACTCTCCAGAGTCTATCAATGTACTCTGCCACCCTATTCTGCAGCCTGATGGAGAACTATCAGGTAAGTTAAGGATATGAAGTAAGATATTCTAGTCTATTTAGATAATCTATATTCGAAAAAGTAAACATTTTTGTCTNAACATTTTTGTCTTTCTAGGGGTTATCGAGCTCCACAGAAATGCCTCAGACGAGGGCTTCCAAGATGAAGATGAAGAGGTGAAAAAAAATTCTAATTATCATACAAAAATCCACTGTCAAAACTGAAGTATAATACCTCTCGAATAAGGTGTTGAAATACTGAAAAATTGTGTGTACGAATACTTATTTCAACTTAATACCGAATCGAGCTTTCAAATGCATTTTAAACATTTATACACTGTCGAACCTCGTTAAGACAAAAAAGCTTAAAATAAATTTTTGCTTCAGACGAGGAAAAACAGTTTCTCTGTCACATTATTTCGGAAAATGATATTAATTTCAACATAAAAATAAACTCCCCTTTTAAGACGAAGTAAATATTGCACCTCATTAAAACGAACTCCTTATTGTGATCTTAACGATTTGTTTTGTCGAGAGCCATACCCTCTAATTTATTGAATTTTTGTTTTTTTAAGTGTGTAGTTAAACGTTTTTAAGTGTTTATAGTTGAGAGTAAACTCAAACCCTTTTTACCAATAAAAACTCATTAAAGGCAATTAGAAAATATATGAGAACTAAAAAAAGCATAAATTGACGATAATTTAGGTTATTATAGGCTTTTTTTATTGTTAAAAAATGACCTTTCACCTTCGGAAATCCATTAGAAACTAATAGAAAATATTTGAAAACTAGCAAAGACATAATTGCGGATCATTAAGTTTTTTCCCCCAATCACTGTTATAAATTAATTACGTTTATTTCGTACGGAAAAATAACTAAAAATACAACCTAAGATACATTTTTAACTTAAGTGTTTTAAGCAGTTTGTTATTGAAATGGCGTTGGTGAAATACACGCGATTTAATGTTCATTACCAATGTTTAAACCTTGTAAATAAAATATTTTTGAATATATATTCTTACAGATTGTTAATAGCTATTTGGTATGGGGTGGCATTGCTTTACATTATGCTGAGGTAATTTTATGTTTACTTATTTGCACTAAATTTTGACTATCTCCTGTGTGGTTATTAAGTTATATTGTGTTTTTAGCTATACGTTCACATGCGAAAACAAAGAGAGTTAAATATGTTCCTGTTGACCATTGTAAAGTAAGTAGTCCTTCAATTTTTGCTGTAGCTGTTTTTCTTTGTTTCAAACACATTTAAGAACTTAGAATAAATATTTCGTTTTTTTTTCTTAGAACGATATTTCAAGATATGGTCAGCATGGATACAGTAATACTTAAAATTATGGTAAGAAATGTTTCAGATACATAATTTTTAAATGGTGATAACAAAGAATTAGTCTAACCCTCTAAAGTTCTTATTATTAAAAAAACGGTCATAAAAGTGCCTATTTTTTTATTCAAAAAATATACATAAAAAAGGCATATGTACAGTAGATGTATTCATTTTTGATTTTTGGAATTTTTTTAGGTTGAAATTTAAAACTCCATATGCACTCTATATGTCCATGTAACTCTGACTCCCTAATGCACACAATATTAAAAAATATTTTATCATAAAGCAAGAGCCACGAGTATTCACAAAGAGCAT